ACTGCTGGTCCCAAAAACTTTCCCTATCAATTTGATCTCTTACAAATTTACTGAACCCTTTTTTTTTTTTAAATCAAGTTAATTTACTTTATTATTATATTTTAAATTACTATGGGGCATGTGCACCCACCAGAGAGACAGAGAAAGAGAATGTGAGAAAGCAAACCACACCTCTTGGTCCATGTGGGAATCCAGCGCCTTACCCACGACACCTTCTGGCCCCAGTTACATAAGCTTTAGTAAGAAATCTTTTTTTTTTTATGTAAGAAATCTTTTATTTTCAGATATTAAGATTATGTCATTGTCTGTACACACAGCGTGACTTCCTACTTTCCCGTTTGAATGGCCTAAAGTTCTTTCCATGTCTATTTTCTGTGGAAGACTTGTAGTACTATGTTGAATTGGTGTTGAACGTGGACTCCACCTGCTGGTGCTGGGTTACCAGCTATGGTCACTTTTGTGTTGACCAAGCAGGGAAGACGAGGCCCTTGGGTTGACCACAGTTGGTGTGGAGGGTTCTGACTCTTTGAGAATTGGCACCAGAAAGTGGGGAGGCATGAGCTGGCCTCTTGAGGCCCTGGGTGGGGCAACATAGTACAGGGTTGACCTCCCAGTCCAGACGGTTGAGTCCACATGGAAGAGAGAGCGGGTCTTGAGTTGCAGAGAGACACACAGGTTGGTTTACCTGGTTGAGAGTAGAACCAATAGTGTGCCTGGCCGTCTGCTTCCTGGAGTGCATGGTGCCATATGGGCTGGGGTGCCACATAGTATTTATGGCACTGGGTTCAGCTGGGATGCCAGCAGGGGTGCCTTTGCATGGATGTACTGTATAACAGTGGGGCCTTGGGGATGTGGAGATGGTGAGACTGCTGGACCCCAGGACAGGATGCACCCGGGTTGTGGCTCTATATGCCAGTGGGACTTGACTCCATGAGCTTGTATCTCAGGGAATGGGCGATGCAGCATGGGTTCTCTGGTGCAGTTATCCACCTATATGGACTCTAGGTGTTGTCTACACTGGGCTCATGGAGTGTGAGGACTGTGGGTGTTTCCTGTGTCTAAGATTCCAGGTATCCACAGTGGACATGGAGATTGTTGCATATCTCCAGCTAATCGTCCTCTGAAGGAGAGAACTCCTCTCAGGTCCCAGCTGAAACCAGCCGGGTGCCTAATTCTTTCTGTGTGCCCATTCCAACTCTTCTTGTCTCAAGTGTCTTTTCTC